TTATCAATATTGATTTATAAAAATAATAAAAAATTTTTTAAATATCTAAAAAATTAAAGTTTTGAATTTATGAATAAATAAATTATAGAAATATAAAGATTAAAATGATTGTAAATTTTTAAATAAATATCAAGATTTAACATCAAAAATATAAAGAATATTCAACTTTTTTTTCTAAAAATTTGAAATTTGCTCTTTGAACTTTTTTTTTATTAATATTATGTAATAGTTTATCGAATCATGAACTTTTAATTTTATTTTATTTGTAATATTATCTCAATGCAAAAATGATGGAAATTATTCAACATATTAAGTATTATTGATATATTTATCTTACTAAACTATAATGTTACTTGATATATACAAATAAAATAAAATTTCTAAAAAAAATTAGTAATAATGATAAAATATAATAATAAAAATTATTTTCGTTTTTGTTCTATATTTTTTTATATATATAACATTTTAATTTAATGAACGGATAATTTAAAAGACAAGAATGAATCTCAATTAAAACAACTGTTATGTTAAGAATAATTACTTTTTAACGAATGCAGGATGTTTGATCATTCACCGCGTACGAAGCTAATAAATAATCATGTCCCCCTTATCAAAGGAATTATGTCTGTCATTGCTGTGTACTTTCACAAGCTTATAATCATATATAATTTACATTGGTATTTAATTATTTATTATAATGTTTTTCATCAATATCTCGAATTTATAAATCATACGACTTCAATTATTTATTATTTATAAAAAAAATTATTTATAAAACAAAAAACTTTTTCTTAGAAATTCTTATTAATTAAATAATATATAATCGGAAAAAAATCATTATTAATTCTTTGATATTAAGATTTTTTTTATATTTTAAATTTTAAGTATTATATCTTAAGAAAAATATGTCTTAAGAAAAAAATAAAAAAATAAGATTCAAAATTTTTATTAGACAAAAATTCGTATTTTTTATATAATAAATTATCTAAATTTATACTAAGTATTTTATATAAGTATGTATCATTGCAAAAGATTCGAAATCTACATTTCAATAGTTATTCTAATTGTAAAACCAAACTATATTTTATTTTAATTGTAAAACCATACAACTATAAAAGTTTTATCAAAACATTGATAAAACATGATTAAAAAGAGTTAACAATTTGCATTATGTATATCGTAATGCTACAAATAAAAACCTTGATATTGAGATATTTATTACACTCATATTTTTACAGATGAAATCTTAACATCCAATATTTAATCGTCTTTTTTTCTTTTTTTCCCTTTCTTTTTAAATAAAATTTTTTTATGTAAAAAATTATATTAAGTTATATTCAATATTATATTTATATATATAATATAAAATTTAAATATATATTTAATTCTTATTTAATTCCCGGTAAAATATTTAAGAACATATCTAACTGAAATCCATTCAATGAACACAAATGAAATAAAATCATATAAAACATTTCAATTTTTACAGAAAACATTTCATTTTATTTACGAATATATTTTCATTTATTTGCGAGTAATTATTTAATTTTTTAAAAAACTCATTATGATATATATATATAAATTTGGAAGCTGTTTAAAAGGTTTAATTATATAATAATTTTCATTAAAGTAGTTGAGTATAAATTTTCAATTATATTCCATAAATTAGATATTCTTCTTATTATATTAATTCAACAAAATATAAATGATCGAATAATAATATTTTTATATTAGTACTTATATTAAACCAAATTTTTATTTTCTTTCGCAATTGCAACAAAAATATAAATAAATCATAATAAAAGTAGATAAATTATATTACCATAAAAATTATTCCAATTTTTTGTTCGAATTTAAATTTTTATGTTAGAATTTAAAATTTTTTTTAATTATACTTAAAAAAAATTTTTTTTTTATTCTACAATATTTATGAATGAATAAATAGTTGTATATGATGTTCAAAATATTTAAAGAGTATTTGATTAAAACATTTTTTTAAATAAATAATGAAACAAAAATTAAATGATTCTATAATTAATTCTCTACAAATGATACACTATATTCATAATTAATATATTTGCTGCCTAATTTCATTAAAAACGCAGAAATTTTAACGCGATTTTTTTTTTCTTTTACTTATATATTTTTCCAAAAATGAAATTTATGATATTTTTATAAACAATTTTATATCATTAACAAAAATAAAAACATGATTAAATGTTAAGTTAAATAATGATATATTGTAATTTAATTTAAATTTAATGAAAAATTAATCTAAAAAATCAATAAATCTTATTTCTTAAATAATCATAAATAATAATAAATATTTTAATTCAGATTTTAAAATATAAAATATTATACATTTAGTAAGTTATAATATATATAATAGTAATAATAAGTTATTTATTTATTTAATTAAATTCAATTGATTTCATTTTAAAGTTATATATCTCATTATTTTACAAAAAAAATGAAACTATAAAATAAGGATTTATTCTTTATTATTATTCTCTACTATATTCTTTATTATATTTATTTATTTATTTTAAAGTTTAGTAATATATATAATAACAATATATAATATAATGTATATAATAATAGTAATGTTTATAATAACAATAATTATAATGAATCAATTTAATAATATGAAAAATAAAAATTATTTCTTATATTCTTTTGCAATAATACTCTGAATTAAATCAAAATCTCATGAAAAATTAATATAAAATTCTATGATTATTTTTCATTAAACAATTTAATAAAAATAATAAAAATTAATAAAAAAAATTAAAAATGAAGAATAACATTTTAGAAATAATTCCTTTTCCAATAAAAGTAAAAATAATTTATTAATTTCATAAACGAAATTAAATTTCTACAAAACTTTACGAGATTATTTTACTTTGTTTAAAGTCTGCAGCCATTTTTATATCTCAAGAATATCTTAAAAATACTTGTTGTAACAAATATGCCGATAAAAAAATTTGATATCATTTAAATATTTATGAAAAATATCATCAATTTATTGTGATTGATTTAATATTTTGGAAATAATTTCAACATACATTTGTGCCAGATGTGAACTGTAAATTATCTTGTAGCAAATTTTAAACAAATCGTACATATTTTGATCAATTTTTTTTAATTGTTAATATATTGTTTATTAATATATTTAAAATGATATTAATATTACATTGATTTATTACATTTTTTTTAAATATTACAATTTATAAATACGCATTTGAAATAATAATTTTTAAGTTATAAATTTAAGTTATAGATTTATAAATTATGAATATATTAGAAGTAATAAAAAACAATAATAAAACAATATTTAATTGAATTTAATATAATTTTTTAAGATCATATAAATATTTAATATCAATATTTCTAATATACTATTATTCAATTTATTATAAATTTATTAATATATTTATTATAACGAACTATTACTTCTCAACAAAATGTTTCATCTAATTAATATTTCTATTAAATTATATATAATTTAAAATTGCACAAATAATTTTATTTAATATAAATTATATACTTAATCAATAATGTTTTAAAATTTCTCTCATTTTTTTCAAAAAACATTGAAAATAAGTAAAATTTTAGAAAAATCGGATTAAAACAAAATATCTTTTCTTAACACGCTATGATTAAATTTCATTACCAATGTTACTGCCATGTTTAGTTTGCTTATTCCTGTGCCTGAACTATAAGACTTTTTTTCACAATATATTATAAACAATAAAATTTAAATGAATAATTTAGTTATATTAAACTAATATTAAAAGTTATGTATCTATTTTAATTACTTGTCGGTAATTATTAAGAAACATATAACTAAAAATTATTCAATTCTAAGAAATTGTAAAACAATGACAGCGACTAAAATTCAAAGAATATGTCAGAGAAAAACTAAGAAACCGTACATGACATCATGTTAATCGATATAACAGGTTAATAGGTCAGTCGGTTCTTATACTTTGTAAGCATGAGGAAATAAAAAAAGACAATCGAAAAAAAGAGAAAATACACGGATATAAGGTTTCAAGAATGTCTCGTGAATAGGCGTACCGAAGATAGAGTAAATACATACCTTTCATTTAATCTATTTCGTAGTGGAACGAATCTTGTACAAAACACCAATAACGGAATAGAAGAACAACAAAGTGAGATATCACTTCACCTTGGCACTATATTTCACAGGAATTATACATATCACAATTGTCATAACAAAAGAACACATATGAATATGGCTGGTGACGGATAATTATTCTGTCTCTAGCACTTTCACGGTACATTTTGATGACTCCTGATAATGCATGATAAGAGAACTATTTGGTAAAAAAAGGAAGACCACTTCTGTACTACTTGTACAAACATACACACACAATACGTGCATGAATATGAAGGCACTGATTTTTTTATAAAATACTTACACATTCGATAAAACGAAAATACACTACTAACAAGTGTCAGCCATCTTGTATTGGAGCGAAGCACAACCCAACGTCCCATAGTGCATCACGACAGCTGCAGAAACTCGTACCAAGTTTATAATGGTAAGATTTTAAAGAAGAAATGAAACACTTTTGATTGGCGAGCGATTTAAATAGATTGCTCCTATTGGTTAGATTATATTAGTGAATTTTCTTCCATATATGATTCTTTTGAAATATATTTAATGCAATTTTTAACCAATCATTTACTATTATTCTGAAATATTACTAAATACTTTACACATTATAATTTTATTGCATAAATAAAAATAAATATTAAATTTCAATAAGATAAAACTTCATGTAATTAAACTTTTTCATATAATAATATTAATAATATTATACATTTTAATAATATATAATTAAATAAAATTATACAATCATATAAATTTAAAAATAACTTCAAAGTCTCTTCACATAAAAAGTAAAATTTATTATTGCATATTTTCTATTTATTTATTTTTAAACACGTTGAACAAAACAAATTATAAATGTATCATGAATATTTATACTTTTATATTTATGAAATTTATCATTTATTTACAAATATAAAATTATTTTCATTCATTTGTTATACATAGTTTATATTATTAAATAAATATTTTAACAAAATATATAATTTAATGTGCTGTGTAATATAGTAATTTAATGTGCATATAATAAACTGTTATATATAATTATGTTACTTGAAATCAATAAAAAAATTATGCAAAGTTATACTCAATATTGTACTAATTAAAAATATACTTGATTTAATACAAGTTGAACTATTTAAAAAAGGATAAAAAAAATCATATGGTAAAGTAATATCTAAGTTTGGTCCTCCCACAAAATAATATTTGGATGGTTTTGATATATCATGAAATGTAACATAACTAACAACATCTATTTTTAGTAGATCTATACATTTTTTAGATGAACACTTTGACCAAGATATATTAGATCCTGCTGAAAATGTAATACTAACACCTATTATCTTATAATTTTTTAATGTTTCAGGTTTTGTTAAAGCAGAATATAAAATATTTAAATGTATAGATGTTATTAAATCTGAACAATATAAACGATTATTAACAAACGATCCTACTATAATATTTTGTGGCATTCTATCCAATAAAATTTTTGTCCAATTAATAGTATCATTATTAGAAAAGTTACCTAACTTGGCAACATAAATATTATATTGATTTATCTGTGTAACATTAAATAAAGTATCTTTAAGTAAAATATGCATAATAAGATTTTGTAATTCTATACAAGATGCTGTACTAAAATTATTAGTATGTACAGATACAGAGCATTTCAATTTAATATTTTCTCCAAAAGCAAGAGCATACCTATTAATTTTATTACATTCACCGGTTTTTGTAGCTATGGGTAATGTCAAAAAACTATCAGTTTTATTAAAATTGATATATTTAGTTTCTATATTATTAGTCTTATTTATTTTTAAAGTACCTATAATTAATGGCTTTCCAATAATATAGCCAGGATTACCACTGAGAGAGAAACTTTTTTTTTTATCTAATTTTGCCCATTCATATGTTACTATAAACTGCTGATAAAAATTTTGAGAAACATTACCTATATTAAAATATACATCGATATTATTAATTCCCATAGAGCCATTGTGAACAATTAAATATTTTACACCTGTTACAATGTTGTAACATGTTCCATTAAAACAAGATCCTATTATAGTATTATTACTGCATGTTTTCCAATAATGTTTACAATAATAACTATTTAAAGTTAAACATACATTTTTAGGACAAATCTGCAAATTATAAATTTAAATGTAATTTTTTTTAATGTAAAAGAACATTTGATATTACATATTATTTTAAAAACTATTTTTTATATAGCAGTACCTGAATATAAGTTTCATTTAACAAATGAGGAGATACTATAATTGTAAAATTATTAAATGTTGCAGGAAATAAAAATTTATTTGTGTCAATTAATTCAGTTTGTAAACATTGTTCTTTCCATTCACGAAGATATTTTAAAGTTTTCTTAAAGGAGCATAATTCAGTAAATCCAGATTGTAATATTTCTAAATTTATAAAAAAATCAATTAAGATAAAATATTAAATATACTAATAAATATAACAAAATATATGATACCAAAGGGTTGAATATAATTGTTATATACTATCCACATAACATCACCATCTTGATAAGGATTAGAAATATTATATTCAAGTTGATAAAATTGGTCATTCCATTTCCATGTCAATTTATTTAAATTTATTGCTTTCCTTATATCTTCTTCAGTTTTTATATCCTAAGTGAAATTAAATACATAAAATAATTAATGAAATGATCTTATATAAAGAATATAATTTATAATCAATTTTAATCTTACCAACTCATTATTAATACTGTAAGTAGGTGGAAGATTATCATATAAAATACAAAAGAGATTATTCGCCAATTTTTCAAGTATAAATGGAGTATTATTTCGTTGTATAAAATTTCTATTATAACAATAACGTTTATCAAATAATTCAGGTTGATAATTTTCACAATATGAAAAAACAGTTAAATGAAAATCATTGCAATCTTTGTCACAACAACAATTAATATCACAAGATGACATCTATATAATTTAATAATATAAATAAAAAACTTTGAATTAATCTAAAATTATATAGTTTTTAATATATTGAATATAAAATGTGATAAAAATTTACCATTAAGTCACATTCACATATGTCAGAGTGCATTTTATATATATTTTGATTTTGTGATTTTTTATTGTACTTAATTTTCTGAGGCATTTGTTTGGTAATTATTTGAAATTTTGTAGATTGAGTTGAATATATAGAATTGATAGTAGTATTATAAATATTTTCAACTGTAGTACTTAAAGTTTCTTCTAAAATATCTTTCTCTATTAATTCATCACATCCTGTTTCATTCACACATGTGAATATCTCTTCAAGTTTCTTAGCATATACAGACTTATTTAACATAAGATAAAAAGATATTAATATAAATTTTGTTATAAACATGTTGATAATTATATATATGTATTTTATAATTTAGAATATATTTATTAAAAAATATTTTTAATCCATATTGCAATGTATTAATATAAAGTACAATATATTGTAATAATATTTATATATGACATCCATATTTTTCAAAATTTCGGGTAAGTATATATAATTCAATTTTAATTGTACCCATACTTTCTGTAAGTAATTCAAATCTATCTAAAGAATTAACCAAAATATTTGGTGATTTTAATTGTAAACTTATTCCCAAAAACTTATCTCTTAATCTATCTTTCCAATTACCTATGGATTAAGAATAAAATATATTGAATACAATAAATTTATGTCAATATTTTTTTAGAAAAAATTTAACTTACCAATTGGTTTCCACGTGTGACACTTTATAGAATGCAATCCAGGAGATAAAGGAATATTACAAATACCATAGGATCCAAATAATATTCTTCCATGTGTATCTCTATGAAATATTTGTAGTAAAATTTTTGGTGAATTTTGAATAGTTTGTGTTGTATAATGTAAATCTATGGGATGATCCCAAACTGGTTCATTTGTATATAAATCACAACTTTCTTGAGTTTGTCCTTCTTCATAACCATTTAATACTTTCCATCCTCTACCTATAAAAAAAATTGAAAATATATATATAATAAAAAAATATAAAATTTTTCATGATAATTTTATAATAAATATTTTATTACCGGCATGAAAACTCCATTTGCATAAAAGATGTGATTGTTTAAAATCTTTTGCAGACGAAATTCGACCTACAATATGCAATTCGGCCATTCCACAAAATCATTTTATTGAATGTATTAACTGAAATTTTTTCTCTTTCTATAAATGAATTAAAATATATTACGATTAAATAATGTTTATATTTTATGATAAAAATTGTGATATAATCATTATGATAACATTGTTAAAAATTAATATATATTATCCTTTTATTTGTTGAATTAATTATTTGAATATGAAAATTACAAATGATGAATTGAAAATATTGACTTGAATGACAAATATTTAAGAGATATTAATTAATATATATTACAATTTTTATTATAATTTAGTCAAATAATTGATAAATATAAACAATCTTTATGCTACAAATGTATTATAATATATATGTCAACTATTGACTCATCAATCAACATGTTAGACATAAGATATGTACGCCCTCTTGTGAAGTTTGAATTGCTTTAGGCATTATAAAATTTTCAATCTTATTTCTTAATGTTGTATACATAGTTTTCCATTAAATTTAACTCTGTTTCTTATTAATTATTTAAAAAATTATTTTTTATATGTAATTCTTGTCACAAATTTTTTTAAAATTTTACTGTTATAAAATTATACTGTTTAGTTTCATATTTTATTATATAGTATAATTATGTATTACTTTTAAAGTTATAAACCAAAGATTGAAAAAATTAATAAAACATTTTAAAAATTGCTTTTATAATTTTCTAATAATTAGTACTTTTTGTTAAATATTCAATTTAATTCATCACATCGAATAGAATGTTATTATATATTATAGGTTATATGAATTTTCTAACATTTGACAAATCTCTTAGATTTTATTAATAAAAATTTATTTTATGAACTTTTCTGTTGCTTGTCTTATACTCTAAATGGAAACTAAACCAAAAAGTGAACACTTACTAGAATTAAAAGGTAATGAATATTATTTATATGAATTTATAATTTAAAATTTTTGAAAATATAAATTTATTAAATATTGTTTATTAATTATAAATATGATACTGAAATAATTATATTTTTATATATTTGTATTCTTTTTAGTAATGAGATTAACACGACCTATGCTTGCAAGTCCAGTAGTTGTTACTTGTGATTCAACAGATCTTCCTGGTAATACTTTAAATAATGAACTTAAGAATGATTGTACTGCTTTACAAGGAATGGAAACTCTCGCAGTAGGACAATTTATGGTATTACCACAAAGTTTTGGGTATGTATATGAATATATATTAAAATTTAAATTTATATATACATTTAATTTTCAAACCATATAATTTTTAATCAATTTATATTTTATATATAAAAAATGATAATTGTACAATATGACATTAAATATATATATATATATATATATTTACTTATTTAATATATTTATAATTATATTTATTAATTATATTTAGTTATAATATAATATATAATTATTTAAAATTATATTTAAATATAACTTTACAGAAAAATAATACAATATTATAATTATATTTTTACAGAAATATTTATTTAGGTGAAATATTTTCAAGTTATCTTTGTGTACATAATGGTAGCAATCAATTAGTAAAAAATGTTATTGTTAAAGTAAGTTAATATTAATTAATTAATATATATAATTAATAAATCAATAATCATATATATTATTTTTATTAATGCATGTGTTATTATATGTTTTATATATATATATACATATATATATTATATAAATATATATATACATAAAAATTATTAATAATAATTATTTCAGGCAGACTTACAAACAAGTACTCAAATTATATCTCTTTGTGGTAATAGTGGAGAAATGAAAGATTTAGCACCTGATAATACAGTTGATGAAGTTATACATCATGAAGTAAAAGAAATAGGCACACATATGTAAGAATATTTTATTGGCAAAATTTCAATATATCTTTGGTAAATAATTACTAATATATATCATTTTCTAGACTAGTATGTGAAGTTAGTTATACTCCTGTAAATTTAAGTAACACTGCACAATCATTTAGAAAATATTTTAAATTTCAAGTAGTAAAACCATTAGATGTTAAAACAAAATTTTATAATGCAGAGGTAATAATTTGATAAAATATTATATAGATATTTAATCAATTATTTATACAATTATTTAAAATAATACTTTTTGATAATTTTAATTTTTTTAAAGTCAGATGAAGTATATCTTGAAGCACAAATACAGAATCTTACAGCTGGTCCAATTTGTTTAGAAAAAGTTTCACTTGAATCATCTCATTTATTTAGTGGTAGGTATAATTTTTATGAATGATTTTTTTAAATATTATAAATTTAAATAAATATGATAATCATTTTTATATATTCAGTATCAACATTAAATACAAATGAAAGAGGAGAGTCTATTTATGGATCAGTTAATATATTAGATACTGATTGTAGCAGACAATATTTATATTGTTTAAAACCACAAATAAGTTTATTGAAAGATCCAAAAATGATGCATAATGCAACAAATATTGGAAAATTAGATATTGTTTGGAGAAGTAATTTGGGAGAAAGAGGAAGATTACAAACAAGTCAATTACAAAGAATGGTTCGTTTTTTACAATTTCATTTGTAATTTATTTTGTTTTTAATTTTTAATTTAATTTTAGGCACCTGAATATGGTGATATACGAGTTACCATGAAAAATATTCCTCTTACAGTTTATCTTGAACAAATGATGAATTTTAATTGTCATATAATAAATACATCGTAAGTATTTATATATGTATATCATATATATATAAAAAATTAAATTTAAAAAAATGATTTAGAATCCCAATCAATATTAATCTAAATTTCAATATTTTATTTTAATTAAATTATTAATAATTTAAATAATTTAATAATTTAATAAAATTATTAATAAAATTAAATTTTATTTCATTATTATTAGTGAAAGAAGTATGGATTTAATGTTAATTTTGGAATCAAATAGTTCTATAGCATGGTGTGGAATATCTAATACAATGATAGGAACATTAAAACCTGGTGTTTCAATAGATATTCCTTTATGTTTAATTGCATTACGTAGTGGTATTATAGTAAGTATTTTTATATAAATATTTTAACATATATATTATAAATATTTTAACATATTTAATAATATTATATATACTTTAGACAATTTCAGGATTAAAATTAAAGGACACATTTTTGAATAGGGTATATGATTATGATGACTTAACACAAATATTTGTTAGCCAAACAGATTAGTTAAGAAATTAATAAGTGTGTAAAAATATTTATTAATTTAATTTATATTTTATTTAATATATATCAAAGTTTTATTAATATATAATAGAATATGCAAATATGATAATGAAATTAATTGATTTTTATAAAATAAACAAAACATTTAAACAAAATATTTTAAAAGTATGTATCTATAGTAGATATTTTTTCAGTTTCACTCACTGCTCCTACAGCACAAGCAAGTAAAGTTTGAACATCTTGAGGTTCATTTCCACCAAATATATATCCATTAGCTTTATCCACTGCATTTTTTACTTGTAACAACAGTGCTTGATTAGAAATATCTAATGGTATAAAACTTACAAGACTGTAATCTTCAATTAATGACACAAAAGCTGCATTTAGTTTCTTGTATCTAAAGATATTAAATATTCAGAATATATTTTTATAGTTGAACTTATTTATTCATACAAATTTAGTTAAAAATAAATATTAAAATATTCAATAAGGAATCTTACTTTGATGTAAATGGATTTTCATCCAATTTATCTAGCAAATATTTTAAATCCAATACTTCAGTATAAAAATCTATATTAAAATCTAAGCAATGTTTAAATTTTTTCATTTCATCAAATTTGGTCATTACATTAATATGAGGTAAACCTAATTTTAACATAGTTGTTGTGCAAAGAATTAGGGAAGATAAATATTTACCTGTAAAAATATAATATATTTTAATATATTATAAAAAGAAAATAAAATTTTATTCATAGAATTATAAAAATTACCAGCATCACTACAGTGATGAGAATCAACAAGATGTACACTACATAATCTTATTAAATTTTGTTCTAATTTTTCTGCAATTATACTAACTGATTTATGATGTGTATATAACTCAACCTGTAAATAAATATTGTGTAATAACTGTAAATAATTAACAATAAATGTGAAATATTTTATATTTATATATAAAAATATACCTGTCCTGGACAATCAAATATAAGATAATGATCTTTTAGATTTAAAACTTTTGTGATTAACCACTTAATATTAGCTTCTAAAAATTCCATACAATAAACTAATGCTCCATTTGGACCAAGTCCATAATGTGACATCACTTCTTCATGTTTTATCAATTCAGATATATTTACTATAGGTGAGTATTCCATGTTTTCATTTGCAGGATCTAAAAATATAATATTGTTATTTAAATATTTTAAATATTTTTAGATTTATATTTATAATTAAATTTGTAATAATTAATTATTATTTGCTTTTACCAATATTAATAATAGCTACTTTTCTCCCAAGTTTTTCTAAAAATTTAGCCATTGCATGACAATATGTAGTTTTTCCACTTCCAGGTGGACCTATAACTAATTGGCCAAATATTAAACTCATATTTAATTATTTTTTTATAATATTATTATATCATATCATTTATAGTTGTAACTATTGTTTTCAAAATAATTGAATCATAATTTTTTAAAGATATTGAAATTAATAATGGTTTATCTGTATTAATCTGTTCTGTTATATAGCGGGCAGCTGCTATAACTTCAACATCATCTTTTCCAAATAATACCCTAAAATAAATTATTTATTAATTTAAAATGAAATAATTAAAAATTATAGATAATAATAATAATAATAATATTTACTTAGTAGAATATATACTATTATTATATTGATTAAATGAAGATCCACGACTTATGGATATTAGTGATCCAAATTTTTTAAATTGTGTTACAATTAATAATAAACGGTTACTAAAAAAAAAACAAATATTTAATATTAATATATTATATAATTAATATATTAATAATTTTAATTTATCGATTTAAAAAGTTAAGTAGTCTAAATTCATTGTTTGTTCTTATATGTAAATATTTGTTTATAACTTATATTGTATAAATAAAAAATTAATATTACCTGTAAACTTTCAAAATAATATCGGTATGATGACCGTGAATATCGACACACGCATGATCTTTCATATTTATTATATTATCTGTAATATAAATATTAAAATGTAGATAAATTTTTAATAATTTTTAATAATATACATTAATACAAAGTAAATAAATAAATAAAACATACTTATATTAAAATGTTAAATCATTTTTGTTTTTTATATAAAATGATTCTTCATATAATGCTTCTAGTATATTTTACAATTATAGTAAACGTTGTCTACACTGAAAATACTATAGTATTTTTTTTTTTAAATTACATTTACTGTTAATAAAGTCTAATATGAAATAATTAAAAATCTAATATAAAATAATAATTTTAATATAAACAAAAAATAAACATTTGTAATTATAAAATTAAATTAATTACAAAAAAAATGAAAATTTATTTTAAAAATTAAATGTATATACTTATATGTATTGTAATATACATAAAGTACAAGAAAACTGAAAGCCAATCAGTAACTCAAACAGTGAAATGCAATTCATGTATATAAGTTTTAGAAGCTTAACTTCGAAACTTCGAACTTACCCTACAACGTTTCATATTCAGCATATAATTCGTATCGCAATTTCACAAAGGTGTTGCATTTTTTGATCAATCCAATATTTATAAGTTTAGTATCAGTTGTATGAAGGCATAAACGCATATTTTATAATATTTTTTGTTATATTAGCTTATATGCTATGAAATTTCGAATTATTTTTTTAACATTAGTCATTTAAGAAGTTAACCTAAGAATAGTATATGTGCAAATAGTTTAAACAGACTGGTTGATGTTAAGGACAATGTCATTATTTAATAAACCGAAGAGAAACATCCGCCGTCGACCTTTCAACGACGACGATGAGGATAATGAAAATAGGATGGAAGTGGAGGATACCCAGCCTATAAAGTCAAAAACAAAGAAGAAGGATAAGCCAAAGCAGACGCTCCTCAGTTTTGGAGAGGAGCTAGAAGAAGGTAATTTTTGGAAAATTATTTACATACGTATAAATATATTTATAAAATATATAAAATATATATTTCAGATTTTTTCATGTATAGTAATTTAATTATTATTAATAATGATTTTACTTAAGGAAAATGAATATGATACTAAAATTAAAATTTTTATATTTATTAGATTAAAATCATAATAAATTTAAAGAAAAAATTAATTATTTATTAATTTTAAAATTAGTTATTAATTAAATTAATAATTAAAGTAATTAATTTTTCAATTTATTAATCAAATTAGTAGTAAAAACGGATAATAGAAATATTATTATTTCTAAAAATGATTGAATAAATAATATATTTAATAATATAAAATTATTATTATTATTATTATTTCTTATAAGAAAAAAATATTTTTTTGTAATAAATAATTTTTTATTTTTAATATTACAAATTAAATATAATATTAAATTATTATAAAATTTCTTAAACAGATTTAAAATATTTTATATTATATTATAATATTATAATACTATTTATTTTCATAATAAAATATAATAATTTAATTTTCAGCGGATGATGGAGAAGTTTTTAAAGTGAAGAAATCATCCAGGAGCAAAAAATTGATGAAACAGCTAGATCACGAAAGGAGAAAAAAGAAAGGTGAAGAGAAAATGCAAGTGGACTCTGAGCAAGCGAACATGTCCATTAAACAGGAAAAAGATTTAGAAATAAAGACAGATGATCTAGTAGTAAGCTATCTCTATGATGTTTATTATTATTAGAATTTCTCAAATTTAAATCATATTCTCAAATTAATTTTTGTTATATACAACATTCACTCACTGAAAATATGATATAAATATTTATCTATATGATATTAATATATTTGTGCAATTGAGAAATTGATTCTTTTAGATCAAAAAAAAATATAATAACAAAAGTTGTTATATATAAATATTACTTAAGGCTTATTTATTAAGTTATAAGCAATTTAAATTTACGTTAAATGAAGTGAGACAGTAATAAGATAATTTTAATTCATCATAACATCATTTTACTTTATCTAATGCAAACTTAAATTATTTATAATTTAATAAGTCTTAACCAAGATTATATCAATTTTTGTGTTTGTTTTGATCTTTCAAAAGTGCTCAAATATACAATATCTTGTATATACATATGTATATATATATATATAATTATTTTATTTATATAAAATACATCTTTATTATTTTTATAAATTTTACTATTTTTAAAATTTTTTAACACATTGTATATAAAGAATGTGAATATATTAACACAATAAATATATATAATATAATATAATTTAATATTTAATAAATATATTAAATATATGAGGTTATTAAAATAATGAATGAATTATTAAAATATCAATATAATTATAAAATATGATTATTTAAATTTTTTATAAAAGAATCTTAATATTACATTTAGTTAATATTACAATATTTATTGATTTTTTATATTTTTAGAGAAAATTAAAATTAAAAATATTTAAAATTTTGTAATATTATAATAAATATACCATTTTTTCAGTATAATATAAGATTAATTATATATATAGTAATTTTTCATTAATAATTAATAATATTAATTAATTAATACTTTTTTTATTAAAAAATCTTATTAAAATTTTTTATTATTAGGTTAAAATAAAAAATACAGGACCTTTAATTCTAAATGGGCGAGCTGCACTTGCAGCTGGAAAGGATGATTACACATCTGATGAAGAAGAAGATGAACCACGCAGTCATAAATTTAGAAGAAATACAGATAAAGCTGATACAATGAAAATTCTTCTTGAAAGTATGTAATATTTTTATTATTATATGTAATATTCAAAATTTTATTATATATTATATTTATTTTTTATATTTGATTATTATATACAAAGTAATATATTCATAAGATAGTTTTAGAGTTAAATTTTAAAGATCAAAAAAATGGAAAAAAATACTTAAATAGAAAATTATATAAAAATATTAATTGAAACTTATAAGCAATTAAAATTTAAAATTTGAAATCGCTCTATCTCCGTTATATCACCATCACATTCTGTTCTCGTTTCATCTAACTTATTCAATAAATAAACTTTAATAGACATTTTTATATGTCAACTTTTATGTTCATTTTGGTCTCTAGAATTGAACTTTCAAAAATATCATATAAATAATTATTATTAACATTCTGTATATTATATATCATTTATTAATATTTATATATATCTAAAATAAATTTTAATTTTAAAAATATTTTAATAAATATTATCTTATAATTATAAGGTGGTTGTATACCTGATGCTGCAATGATCCATGCAGCTAGAAAATGCAGACAAAAAGCAAGAGAATTAGGAACTGATTATATTCCTATAGAAGAACAAAGGTATTATTTTTTGTAATATATTTAATATTTTAGTTTAAATAAAATGTTATTTAATTTTATTATTTACTAATATTATTTATTTTATTAATTAATTACTATTAAAATTAGATTTTATTTTGTCATACGTTTTATAAATACATTAATTTTTAGTGATGATAAAGGCAAATCAAGACTTATTAGGGAAGAAGATCATGATAGAAGTGATGATGATGATTCGCAAGATCGAATTGATATGACTGTTAATACTGAAGCACGTGATAAAGAAAAAAGGCGAGAAGCATTTCTTGCATCACAAGTTCCTTTAAAACGTTAGTTTTTAATTATTTATTATTAACAATTTATATATAATAAATGATTATATTGTATAATTTTAATTTTTTAGTTTCTGATGATGAAAGTGAACATGAAAACGAGGAAGAAGAATGGGAAGCTCAACAAATTAGAAAAGGTGTAACTGGTGCACAGGTAATTTTTTTTCAATCATAATTAATATTTATTTGATATTAATATATTTATTTATATTTATATATATATTTAATTATTACAATAATTGATATATATTTATTCATTTTATTTTAGATATAAATGACAAAAAGAATCATATAATTATATTTTTATATTATTTTAATATAAAAAAATATTTAGATTGCAGCAGCACAACAAGATTCCATGATGCAACAACAATATTCAATGGGTATGAATGTAAATACAATGATGGGGAGTGGAATATCTTTGGAAATGGTAATGATGCCAGCTCCACCACCTCCTCCAGCAATTCAACCACCAGACCCTACAAAAATAATACCTATTACTCCTCAAGAAGTTGTGACTAAAATGCGTGTGAGGTGATGAAAATTGAATTAAAATTTTGATTAAAAAAATATAATAAATAACATATTATATTTAACATATATTATAATGTATTTCACATACATTTTGAAAATTTTTATAATTTAAAATATTATTTATTTTTAAAATTAGAGTGAATAATATAATTTGTAGATTGGACAGTTTAAAAGAAGTACACCGACGTCATCAATTAGATCAGGACCGTTTAGAGCAAGAGTTAGGACAAACTGTGAAAGAACTGGATGATGGTGAAATTCGTGCACCGCAGCTTGCGCAGCGCTTCAGATATTACCAAGAGTTGCGTGGGTATGTCACTGACTTGGTAGAGTGTCTTGATGAGAAGGTGGGTTTATACGCTGTCACGTTTTTTTATGTGCACTGGGGTTTTCCATGCAATTTTTGGCTGTCAATCATTATTCAGCCATTAAAAATAATGCATTTTTCTTATTAAATAATTTTTTAATAAATAATTTTTAATATTCCTTTTTTTAAATATTTGAAAACATATTAATATATGTTGTTATATATGTTATATATAATAATTAATAATTATAAATAATTATAAATATATTTCATTAAAATATGATCAAACTGATACTTAATAACTTCTTATTCTATTTTACATAATTTTACATATTTTATATTATAAATTATTTATTTATATATTAATAGAATAATAATCATTAAATATTTAGTTTTAATTTATGTATATTTGTATTTATATTACGTATATTCGTATTTATATTACGTATATTACGTATTTTAATTACGTATATTATTACATATATTTAATTTACGTATAATATAAGTAAAAATATAATTTTTTTCAATAATTCGATAATAAATATTGGAGATATTATTAAAAATTTGCTATATTGAAATATTAAAATATATTATAAATATGTTTCTAATTTCATATTCTAATTATAAAACATTAAACAGTTATTAAATAAAAAATAAAAATATATTTTTAAATATTTTTATATTATCACTTCTTTTAGAATTTTTATTATTTTATTTTTCACTTATATTATTCATGTGTTTATTTTATTTATATTATATAATTTAAAAATAAGAAACAAAGAAGAAAAATGCATATTAAATCAAAAATAAAAATTTAGAATATATATATTATATAATATAATGTATATTTGCATTGCCGGGGGTCTGTGTCTTCTCTGTATAAAAAAATTATTTATACTGTGTAGTATTATTTTTAAGTATTTATAAGAATTGAAAAGATAAATTAATATATGTGGTAAGTAAAATGATATTAATTTTCAAATTTTTAAACAAAAATATCCAATGGCTATGGAATTACAAATCAAATTCCAGCAAATATTAAAAATATATTAATATATTATTTTATGATCTTTACATTATTTAGTTATAATAATTATATATATTTAATACTTATATATTTAATACTATTAAAATATTAAAAAATTCGATATAAACATTTTCTGGAATAAAAATAATTCCCAAAGTCATTGAGTTAATTCATTGTGTGAATGTTAATATAAAACTTTTTTGTTAGCTGCCATTGGTTGTTGGATTGGAGCAACGCTGGTTAGAGCTTTATAGTGAACGTGCGATTGAACTGATGGAAAGAAGACGTCAAGATACAAGGGATCAAGCAGAGGAAATTACAACAGCTGCAAGTCAGTCATTTTAGTATTAAATATACATAATAATATACATTTTTTATATTTAAAATCAAAATATTTTATTATTTTTATTATTCCTTTCATGATTATATTACAAATTGTTAAAAATATAAATAAAAATATATTTTTGATTAATGTAACTTAAATGTAAATTGTATTTTAAATTATAGGAGGACAGCCTATACGAAGAGGACCAGAAGTTGAAGCTCGTATTCGTCGAGCTACAGAAAGAGAAGGAAGAAGAGCTCGTCGGAGAAGAGCTAGAGAATTAGCTCCTACATTACCAAAACATATTGATGGAATGTCTAGTGATGATGAAGTTACTGAGCAACAAAATCTTGCGTTTAAGCAAACAAAAGGTTGTATTTTAATGAATTTTATAAAATTTAATTTACCAAAAGAATAAAATTATGTATTATATACAATAATATTTATCATTATCTATCAAATATAAATTAATATGTTCATTATATATTTATAATATATATTATATATTATTATATATTTATATTTTTTGTATAATACTTTTTTTTATACTTATTTTTAGACGAAATTGATAATGAAAGTAAAGAAATATTTGCTGATGTAATGGATGAATATTGCACAATAAGAGGAATACTTTCAAAATTGGAATCTTGGAGAGAAACTGATAGAGATGCTTACATGGAAGCTTATGTATCTTTATGTATACCTAAAATCATTTCCCCAATTATTAGATTGCAATTGTTAACATGGAATCCTATTATGGTACTTTATATTAAACTTTCATTCATAAAATACTAATTACAATAAAAATTGTATATTATATTTCATTTTTAGGAAAGTGCAGATATAGAAAGAACAAAGTGGTATAATACATTACTCTTGTATGCATTAGATAATAAGGAAACAGAAGAATCACTTAAAAGAGATCCAGATGTCAGATTAGTACCATTTACAGTAGAAAAAATTGTTATACCTAAATTAACATGTAAGATTATTTTATTATTTATTATTGAAGTATTTATATGGTATATTTATAGTTATCTATAATTGAAAACTTTTAAATTCATAACTTACAAATTTTTTGTTTATAGCTATAGTTGAAAGAATATGGGATCCAATGTCTACATCACAAACATTACGACTTGTAGGCACAGTAAATCGTCTTATTAGAGAATATCCAAATTTAAATGATACAAGCAAACCATTAGAAACATTATTTAATGCTATATTAGAAAAAATTAAATCAGCAGTTGAAAATGATGTTTTTATACCAATTTTTCCTAAACAGTTAGTATATTTTTATTTTATTTTTATATTATATTGTATATTTTTATTAAATTAATTTTTATTCAAAATTGTTAATAATTCTATAATAATAATATTAATATTTTTTTTATATTAATATTCTAATTTTATATTTTAGAGTTTTGGATACCAAACATCAATTTTTTCAAAGACAGTTTGCAATGGCTGTAAAACTTTTACGAAATTTATTAAGTTGGCAAGGTCTTCTCGGAGACACACAATTAAAAAATTTGGCACTTGGTTCATTATTAAATCGATATCTTTTAGCAGGTTTAAGAGTGTCTGTACCAAATGATGCTTTATTTAAAGCAAACATGGTATGTTTATGTTATTCATTTGAATATAAGTTTATTATATCTTTTATTATATTTTTAGTTTATTATAGTTTATTATATTTTTTAAATTTTAATATAATTTAAAAAATATTAAACATTATTTAAAAAAAAATTATTTTTTTATAATATTTATATTTCTATATAATAGGTAATGAGTACACTTCCTCGCGCGTGGTTGCAAGGTGAAACAATAGAACATTTGAGAATGTTTGCTACACTCATTCAACAACTTAGTGAACAATTAGATCAAGCAAATCCAGCGCATAAGTAAGTATATATTATAATATATAATATATAATTATAAATCAATGAATAAAAAATTATAAACACTATTATTTTTTTTTAATTTTCTATATCGTTAATAAATTATTTCTATATACATATCTATTTTATTATTAAAATAAAAAAAATTTTTGCGTTTTAAAATATATTTTAAATTAATTATTTATTTTTACAGTGAAGCTTGGGAATATTCGAAGTCCATTTTGAAAATAATCAAACCTTTGTAATGTATTAATTATATGTGCATTTCTTAATAATATTTTATGGTATTTTTATTTTATGGTATTCGTTAATAATGCCTATCTATAATTTTATACACATACTGAAAAGATCTTGTATATGAGAAAAGAATTGCAGTACAATTAGATGTATAATATATAAAAATGTAATTTTGTATAGAAATAAATTAAATAAGATTCTGATATCATATGATACAATTTCCAATAGTAATTGTAAATAATAAAAATAGAAGTATGGCGAAATAAATATGTAAATATAAAATTGTGTTTAATTTTCTATTACAATTAAAGAAAATAAAATTAATATTTTTGCTATAAATATTTAATTTTATTAAATTATAAAATATAGATATTAATAAATAATAATTTAGTACATATTTAATATTTTTATAGACATTAAATTTAAAATTAAATAAAAAATCAATATATAACCAATTAATAATTAATATATAATTATTTATTTTGAAAAACAAATTTTATTTTATTTTAAATAAAATAAAAATATATTTTATAATCTGTTATTTAAAATTAATATATCTATCTACTTATAATTAACTATATTAATTAACATATTTGTAAGCATCTTATAAATAAAATTATATATAATTAAAATCTATTAGAAAAAAATGTAATTAATTTGAAATTTAAATATTATAATTTTTTAAATTATTAATTAATTAAATATTATTATTAAAAATGAAATATATATATGTGATTATTTATATAATTAAAGAAAATTATGTTATGTGATTTATACATAAGAATATACAGAGAAAATGTAATAGGCTAATTTATATGATTGAAGATAATTTAGAGAGGAGATAAGTTCTACTCACACAGATAGTAAAGACGTGTTCATGGGTCACAGAGATAGAGACAGCAAAGGTCATCTCTTGACTTCTATGAACTCAGTTTACTTTTATTAAGCTATTATTATTGCACACCATGAGATTCACAGGTATAAAATAAACATTTTTACTTATACTTAATTAGAAATATTAATTAAACTAATTAAATAATATCACTAAATATCTATTATTACTATATTATAAATAACTTTAATTATAAGTATTAAATTATAAATATATTAAAATAATTTGTACAATTTTTTTACATAATATGAATGAGCTTAATTTAACAAAGCTTGTTAAATTATATTTATTTAAATATCATGTTTTTCAAAATAAAATAATTTAATATGATTGAATTTAAAATAATGAGATTAAATTACATAATAAAATAAAGTTATTCTCTTTATATATTAATTTAAAAAATTTATTTACAGATTTTAATCATGTGTTACAAATAGTAATGTATAAACCAAAGGAAATCATATTTTTATTTTTCTTGTTTTATAATAATCATGTTACAAATAGCATATTTCAATCAGGAAAAGAATATATATATTCATATAATGCTCTTTCAAGTTCTGGTGTTTTGTTACCATCTGGTGCATCATCCTCATGGGGTTTTAATGGAAAACTTAAAATTCAAACAGAAGAAAATATTGCAACAATGCAGGTACATTTTACAATTGATACATAATCTAATATAAAAAAAAAGCATTATTTTTAAAATAATTTTTAAAATATAATAAAAATATAACATGAAATTGATAAATAATTTTATTAAAATGATTTATAATTTAATATCTATATATTTAGTTTGAATCATTGAAAATGACTATATGGAATGGTAAAATGCAAGAACAAGGAGAAATTCAAGATATTCCTGAAGATGTGGCTGATTTGTTAAAACCTTTTCAAATCATATATAAAAATGGTCTTATTGAAAATTTTACTACAGAAGCAATATCACCATGGTCTGTAAATATAAAAAGAAGTATTGCAGGAATTTTACAATTAGATCTGTCCAATTTACAAAAAGAAGCAGCTTTTCATTCAACTGAAGTAAATCATTATCTAAAGATTTTTATACAGTTTTTTAAAATTAATATTAAAAATAAAATTTTACTTTTATTGTTAATATTATTATTAATTATATTATAGAGAAATCATTATGGACAATGTAATATTGAATATGTTGTCAATCCTGAACAAGAAAATGAATGGTTAATAAGAAAATTTTTTGATCCAAGAACTTGCATTGGACATCCTCATTATACTTGGTCAAATGTTCCTAATATGTTATGTCCTAATGGTGATCAAGTATGTATTCTTTATAAGATATATTTCTAATATATTATATTTATAAGAATAATATTAATAATATTAAAAATTATTTAAAATTAAAAGATGTTATATACTAATTTATTTTGTTAATTTATAATATAATAAACTTAACAAGAGAAACTTCATATATGCTTAGAATCCAATTCTAAAATCCAGTGAAAGATTATATAAAATTAAGGTAAATGGATCCTTAAATGATATTTTATTTGTTAATGCTTCTGGAGGTATATATGTCCAACCTTTTCAAAGTTTTGGAGAAGCTCATTTTCATTTTACAAGGTATATTTAAAAAATAAAAATTTTATTTTTTAAAAAAATTTTTCTTAAAAATAACTCTACATCATTAAAATATATGTTATTTTTATATATTTATTTTTTAATTTATAGACAAATTTTTAAATTAATTGTGGTGAAAGATACAGTAAATAAAATATTTACTGAAAACTTATATTTCAAAGTTCTACAACATGAACTTCCAGAAGTTGATCTCACCCAAGGCAGAGGTACTCTTGATAAGAATACTGTTTTTAAATCTGTAAGTTATTAATTTTTTAAATTATAATAATTAAAATTTATAATATATGAAATTAATATTTAATAATATTATTACGAATTTTTAATAATATTTGTATATTATAGATAGGAAGTTTATTAGATCGATTAAGTCAAAAACTTGAAAATCCTGGTTTAGATACAGAGACTGACAATTTACATAACACAACAATTACTGTATTACTTTATTATCTTGGAATGTTAGATATTGTTGATTTACGTAATGCATATACAAAAATTTCAGGAACAAGCTATAAAGAAGAAACAATACGGTATTAACAAATTTTTTATTATTTTAAATATTTGTATAATAAAACATATTACATTATTTTTCTTCTTATGTTATTATAGAAATATGTTCCTTGAAGCTCTTCCACAAATTGGTACTAAAGAAGCCGCATTATTTATATTAGAATTAATCCAGGATAAAAAAGTTTCGGATATGTCTGCAATTCAACTTCTTACTCAATTACCATTTCATATACGAAAACCTGATGTTCAATTATTAGTAAACTTACAAATATTTTTAAATTTACCAGAAAAAATTTCTATTGAAGTTCAAAATACTGCTATTCTTACATATGGCACATTAATTTACAAGACTTGTTTATTATATTGTCCATATGAAATGCTAGATGATTATGTACGTTTATATCTCGATAAATTTACAGGTATGTAAATAATAAATATTAAAGAAATTTCATATTTTCATCAAGTTTAAAATTTTTTTATTATTATTGTGTTCTTATAATAATAAATAATTCATAGAGACAAAGGAATATGAAAAGAAAATGATTTGGTTAGAAGGATTAGCAAATATACAATTAGGAAGAGTAGTTGAATTTTTAGAACCTATTGCAAGTGGTAACAATGCAGAATCGCGTCATTTTCGCGTTCTTGCTGCATGGGCATCACTTTCAACCGCACCTTTAAGACCTGATGTAGTAAGTAATTTTTTATTATAATAGAAAAAATTATTAAATATTTTTAAAAATTTTATATTTTAGATATATCCTGTTTATTGGCCAATTTTGATAAATAGAACTGAGCACTTAGAAATGAGGGTAGCAGCATTAACATTACTTATTGTTTCTAGTCCTACACCAAGCAGATTAATATCGTTATATTGGTACATGCAAAGTGAACCTAGTCAACATTTATATAATTATTTTTATACCATTTTAAAATCTATGGAACGTACTACTCATCCCTGTTATATTCATATGTATATAAAATCATTTATAATATTATTTTTTATAATAAAATTTTCAAATATTTTTTTCTTATGTAATTTTATGATATTAGAGGCATGATAGCTGCACAATTTACACGAGTACTTCATCCAACTAAAAATCAATATTTAATTACTGGTAATTATTTATTTGACTATCAAGATACATATAGAAAATTTGGTGCAATGATACATGGTATTGTGATTGCTAATCCATTAACAAATATACCTGAGGTTTTATATGTAACTGTAAACACTTATGGAAGTGGAATCAATATTAATCATGTATCTGTAAGTGTATATTTACTTTAAAATGATTTAATTTATTTTAAAGTTAATTTTTTAATATATTAAATATTATGTTCATGTAGTTATATATTAAAGCTGAAGGTCTTTTACATTCATTATCAACACATCTAGATGGTCCAACACAAGTAAAGGATATATTGAAAAAATTTAAATTAGATCAAAAACAAAGTGGACCAGTACATTTAGAAATTATTGCACGTATTCAAGAAAAAACAGTTTTATGTCTTCATCTTAATAAAACTAATATTATTAAAGGATTTAAATGTGAGTTTATAAATTATTTTTATTCAAAATTTAATATATTTGAATATTTATTGTTTTATATTTTTATATATAATTTTTTTAGATCTTTCTTCTTTGCCTGATAATATATATAATATATATCAAAATATGGAGTTTCATGTTAATCAACAACGTATTAATGTTCCATTAACAATGGAATCAGTACAGGTTACAGATCTAGGAGCAAATGTTAGACTTGCAATTATTGCAACATCATTATTTTCCATGAGAGGCAATTTTACACATATTTCAATTGGTCGTAATAATCATGTTATATTACGGTAATCATGTTATATTTTGATAAAATAATTTATAATTTTACCTTTTTTTTACAATGTTTTATGTTTATACAATTGATATTTTTAGAACATCTATTCATAAGTCAGAAATAATAGAAAATTATAATCCTTTCATTGATACATGGCATAGTGCAGAAAGAGCACATTCTATTCATGGATACCTTCCAATCAACATTACACTTGGATTTGAAAATCGTCCATTTATTTCATATAATACACCTGGAGGTATTGCATTAATAATATTTAAATAGAATTTATTATTATTATATAAAAATAGTATATTTAATATTAATATTAATATTATTATAATTTCTATTATATATTTTACTTTTTTAGAACATCTTAAAATGGGTATTACAGCTCATGCTAGAACAACAACAAATATAAAAGGATTGAA